TAAAACAAACCGTGAATAATCAATGATAACCACATACTATGTGGGTACTGGCCACTGGGTACCCCATACCTAATATTATTGTTTTAAAAACATTTTTCTCGGTTTTGTTTATASTATTTTGTTACAGTTATTAGTGTTATTGCAATTTGTTGTCTTTTGCGTTTTGCTTTTAGTGTTAATTATATTTTTAAAAGTATCTACATTCTATTTTTTTTGTATTACCTAGGTGGCTCTATATTACTTTTTTACTTGCCAACGACTGATTTAATTTAAGAAATATGTTGTTGTTTAATTATAATTAAGATAATTCCGCCCAACTTGCTGTTTAGGTGAGAAATATAATTATGCTACAGTTAGTCATTGCTTCTGTTATTGTTATTACATATTATGTTTTGTCAACAAGGTGGCTGAAGTGGTTGAAGGTTATTTTTTACTGATATATCAACTATTAACCATTAATGTGATACAAAGTGTTTTAATTAGTTTTACAAACCAATGTTAAACAAGAAAAATAATAATTGATCATATGTTTCCATAAACATTTTGTAAACCATATTAATACTTATAGATAAGTGTGTAACGCAAATGGTATATAGCTCATACAATTAATTTATTACAAATAACAGATGTTATAATTCACTAATCATCTATTTTTATTGGCAGCTCTATAATAATTTTGTTAGTTATAAAAATATTAAGGTCTATATGAACTTGTGTGTTTAATAAGTAATTCATCTAACTAGGTAGGTAGTAATTTAAACATTTATTAATATAGGTACCTTTTTATTTTTAGTATTTATTATTAAAATGTTTTTAATCTCATTGAATTTTACAAATATGTATTTGATACTAGTATACTACCATATTTAATAAATTCAATTAGAAACATAAATAATCTAAAAATACTTTGAAATTGAAATTATAGGCAATAGTTATTAGTTAATTGTAATATAACTACCTATGTATAAGGATTTAGAAATGGAAAATATTTGTACAAAATTAAAAAAACTGTTATATTTTATACTTTACCTACTATAAATTATTTATTTGGATTATATTATATGTATACCTTTTACTATTATATTGTGGTAAATCATAAAACTACTTAAGTTTCATTTTTTTCTAATTATATCATTTTAAACAAGATTAGGTATGAGAAGTAATGATTTATTAGGAGTAGGTAAGTGATAAATTATTTTCCAATTTCCACCGATAATCATA